AATTACCCAGTTTTGTGGCGCTTCCTTCTGTTGGCGTGGTTCCAGTGGCAATCTTTGTGCCATGTTAGGCAACACATTACTTTTCTTATGTAATAAAACACAATTTTACAGATTTCATAATCCCAACTAATGTTAGATGGATATTGATACGGAATGTATAAAGATAAATGTATAATTCTTGTATCGTTTGCATGAATTTGAGGAAACACCATGATAATAAGAGATCAGTAGGAAAGAACACTCTACCGTTTAGGAGCTACCCCCCCCCCAAAAAAAAAAGTTAATGTGCCCTAAATCTCAAGTTGTGCTGATCTTATGTTCCTGTCAGCTATTTATCCCCGCATCCAATTTAGTATTTCTTCTCCATTACCACGTACTGTACCTCCACTCCTCCACTTTCTTTATTAACATCTCTAGTGGGACCCAAACAAAAGCTTTGACAACTGCGAAAATGCTTGAATTCATTAAGAAACTTTAACCAAGTTTTACTCTTCATGGTGAATATACGAGTATACTTGAATTTCATTTTTATTTTGTTTTAATAACTGGTCTGCTTACATTTGGGTAACTGCGCAATTGGTCTAGTCTAGTACAATACGACACGTAATTATAATCACTACAGTATAATATTTGTAAATTCTATTATTCACAATTGAAAATAAGAGCAAAAACGTGTAAAGCTCAGAGTTGTGCTACGTTGTCGATGATTTTATTTTCGGGGATTATGTACGGCTGCCATGGATATTATTGACAGTGTTACGAGTTGGGGATTTAGAATATAGTTATACGTCTACCCAGATCCCAACAGGTAACAACAATAAAAAAAAACAAAGACAATCGGACTATAAAAGGGTAGACAAAGGATGCGAGTTTTCGTTGTATATAATAGAGTACCATAAATCCCTTAACAAAATATTCAGCTTATAAATTACCCTTAACCAAACTTAACCTAAACATTAACAGTATATACATATTAATAAACATAAAACAATCTCGAAGCAAGTGGACGTGGGGAAATTAACACAAGATACTAGTACTTAAGTGAGGAGCTGAGATGGCTGACGAGTAAGGCTGAGTATTGTAGAAGACGGTAGGTAGTCACTGCACGTAGGTTTAGAGGATAGATGATCCTGTGGTCACTTCCCAGAGCCAAGTGCTCTCTCCTCGAATTGGAGCTGACAAAGAAGACTGAGGAGGTGACGCAACAACCAGGATAGGGAGAAGGGAAACCTCGGAGTGGTAACTAAGACGAGTCATACTCGTGTCTCGTCCCTAGATGGCGTTGCTCGTGGTGCTGGGTAGGTAGATCAGGACAATAGATGGCGTGCTTCGTAGTGCTGGGTGGAGGGGTTCGTAACAACAGTAATAAATGTGGTTCAAAAATCTGTCCGTCGCAAACCTAAGTTGTGGTGGAAATGTGATAAAAGATCCAGTGGTCAGTTTGAGGACAAACTTTCCTCTATTACTTTACAATGTTTAATGTATTTAATAAGATGTGATTTTTTGTATATACCCATAATGCCATGATACTAAATTATGTGTTGTCAATCTGTGGATGGATATACAGTAAGAACGATAGGGGTTGGGTGTAAACGGGACTGCCCAGTTTGGGCCAATAGGCCCGCTGCGGTTTCCTCCATTCTTATGTTCTTGTGTCCGTCTTAAAATGCTTTTGGTTTTATTACTTTACCTGTCAATGTGTTAATGTTTTTTAAATAAAATATTAATTATTTCCTGTGACATTCATCACTTTTAATGCGAGAGTACCACCTTTTCGGGGTAGGTCAGCCACTGGGGAGAACTACCACAAAATTCCACCTATGACCTCTGCCTTCACAACTGTTGCCATACACACACTGTCGTTTTTCCCCACGGTAGATTCATTAATCAAGAATGATAATCATAATAAAAACATAAAAGACAATAGATTATAAAGTTAAAGTACTTAATGAAGAAATTCCAAATATTTATTTATTAATATAATAAACAAGAATGTAGTGTAGATAGGAAAAATCGGACAAAAATCCGTAAGACAAAACCCCTTAAGATAAGATGATGAGTTAGAAATGTGTAGTACGTTAAATAGTCATTTTCGCTCCGTATTCACAAATGAAAACCTAGCACAGTTTCCAGAAGTTCATAAGGTATATAACGACAGTATAGAAACTATGTTGATGAATATCAATATTACTAGTAAAGATGTGCTTAAAGTAATTAACAAACTGAAGCCTCATAAATCGCCTGGTCCAGACGAGGTATATGCTAGAATATTAAAAGAATGTAGAGATGAGTTGAGTAATCCATTAGCAGTTTTATTTAATAAGTCATTAGAATCGGGCCTAGTGCCAGAAGCTTGGAAACTTGCAAATGTAGTTCCGATTTTCAAAAAGGGTGATAAATCAATAGCATCAAATTACCGTCCCATTAGTCTCACGTCAATCATAGGCAAGTTGCTAGAGTCAATTATTGCTACAAAAATCAGAAGCCACCTTGAAACATTCAACTTAATTCATTCTTCTCAGCACGGGTTCACCCAGGGACGTTCTTGTCTCACAAATTTGCTTAGCTTTTTCTCAGAAGTATATGAAGCGGTAGATAATGATAAGTCATATGATATAATTTATTTAGATTTCAGTAAAGCATTCGATAGAGTCCTCATGAGAGATTGATAAGGAAGGTAGAAGCACATGGAATAGGTGGATCAGTATTAAAATGGATTAGGTCATGGTTAACTGGTAGGAAACAAAGAGTCAGCATAAATGGATTAAAGTCAGACTGGGGTGCGGTCAAAAGCGAGTTCCCCAGGGATCTGTATTAGGCCCTCTGCTGTTTTGTTATATTCATTAATGATCTTGATTTAGGCATAACTAGTAGGATTAGTAAATTTGCAGATGATACCAAAATGGGGAGAGTGATAAATTCAGACAGTGACTTTGAACACCTTCAAAGAGATCTAGATACCTTACATGAGTGGTCAGTAGACTGGCAAATGAATTTTAATACTGATAAATGCAAGGTACTACAGATAGGAAGACGAATACAAACGTTAAGTATAAACTAGGTAACACGGAAATAGAAAACTCAGTTTGTGAAAAGATCTAGGTGTATTTGTTAGCAACGACTTGAAACCTAGAAAACAATGTATTAGCGTTCGCAACAAGGCAAACAGGATTCTTGGGTTCATATCTAGGTCTGTGAGTAACAGAACTGCTGACGTTATCTTGAAACTTTACCTAGCATTAGTGAGGCCACACACATGGATTATGCGGTTCAGTTCTGGTGTCCTTATTATAGAATGGACATAGATTCTTTGGAGAGAGTACAAAAAAGAATGACAAAAATGATCCATAATATTAGAAACCTTCCATATGAAGAAAGACTGAAAAGCTTAGGCTTACATTCATTAGAGAGGCGTAGAGTTAGGGAGATATGATAGAGGTGTACAAGTGGGTAAGTGGGATTAACAAGGGTAAAATGGAAGATGTTCTGAAGCTCAGTAATAACGAAATAACTAGAACAAATGGCTTTAAATTAGATAAATTCCGATTCAGATAGGATATAGGCAAGCACTGGTTTGGTAATAGAGTTGTGGATATGTGGAATAGGCTACCGAGTGCTATAGTAGGATCGGGGACGCTAGGGAGCTTCAAGACGAAGTTGGATAGGCACATGGAAGTGCTGGGATGGGTGTGAAAGGGATCTGCCCTGTATGGGCCAGTCGGCCTCCTGCAGTATCCCACTTTCTTATGTTCTTATGTAAAATATTTAATTTATTATATAACATGGTAATAAAACAGCCAAAGTCAGCAAACGCAAACAGACACACAAGCACTTGATGTGCCGTACCCAGCAACGACCTGAGATAATTTCTGATAGAAACTCCTCATTGGCTGCTAAGGTATAAAGTAAGGTTTCATGACCTGAGGTTTAGACTCGTTAAACTGTTGGTGAAATGAACTAGGGTGGAGATTCTTCAGGTGATCCCAAACCCGGGTATCCCAGGCAGTACAGAAATTAGATATTCAATAGCACGAAGAAACTCAAGAACAAAGCTTCCATCACATTCCCAGATTTTGATATCGCGATGTGTTGGCCGCATTTAAGTGTACAAGGTGTCCTAACCTCAGTTACTGACCTGACCTCACCGGATTCTCTAACCACTCAAGGGGATAAGACCTCAGAAATGACCTGAATATCGAGATGCACGGTAGACAAGTATCATACTTGCTTGAACCTCAAAAATTATAATGACCCAAACTGATGGAAAATTTTTCTATAAAATATAGTCGGCCAGAAAAAGTATAAATTTAGACAGATCAAACAGGGACGCGCTCCCCTGAGAAACTCCTTTATTACATTACTGGGGGAGGGGTCAGGAGATTCCCTTTTCATAAAAATATTCCAATACTTTTTATTTAATGCAGTATTGTACTCAGGCGTGTTTGTATATTAAAACATTATTATTATTATTGACCTCAGAAAAATCTCCTAATATCAAATGCACAAGGCCTCAAAATGCCCAGGATATTGGTCAGATTAAAAAAAATTATCGGGGGCTTAAAGAGCACCCACCACCCAACCTTACCCTCGGCTGGGTGGGCTCCCTGTGCTCGCCCTGTTCTCCCACCGACAACTTCTTGGACTCCCCTTTTGATATTCCTGAATCCGCCCCTGCATTAGCCAGAGAGAGATCAAGAATGATAATTATATGAACAACAACTAGGGAATATTAAGTTAAATAACCTGGGGTAGCAATGTCAGATCCTAAAGGGTTATTTTAAATGTATCAAAGACTGGGTTAATGTAGTCAGATTCAGGCCAGCTTACTGAAATGACCTAAATGATGGGGCGGTCAGGTCACAGTGGAAGAGCTAGGTCAAGCCCTGGTATTTTTATAAGGGGGGTGAGGTAATAGGGGTAATATAAGGTTACATCAGAGGTCAGCAAACACAGTTGAGTGAGAGACAGTGTAGCAGGAGGAAATCAGGAGGTTCACCAATATGGGACAAATTTTAAACCGACAGGTAATGTGACACGCTGTTATTATGTGTTGTTTTGTTTACAACTTTTCCTGCTTATTTCACATTGCATTTATCAATTACATGAGTTTGCACATTGTTTAAATATAGCTCAGGATATTGTCGAAGCTTTTTAGCGAGTTCTGGTATTTTTTTATGCCATTCATTATATATTTGCTTATACTGTTTACAATTCATATTCTCCTCCTCTTATAACTTTTATGGTAAACCATCATTAATGAGTTCCTACGCCATGTATTTTTTTCGAGATTTGTCCAAGTTACGCAATACGTATTTTTGAACATAAAGTTATGACAATTTGTACAAACTAGCACCTATTTATATATATTTATATTGGGTTAAGGCAGTAGTGCTAGTATTTAAGAACTACCGACGCCAGCCAGCCTTAAGGATTACCATGTATTGTATCACAAGCGTTATGATCCTCGTTGCAGTTGGTGTTGGATGCTGAGATGGAGTGTGGGGTGTGTTTAGAGACCTATAATCTCCAGGCCCGGCTGCCTCGGTCCCTCACTTGTGGCCACACCCTATGTTCCAAGTGCATCACTGGTATACTGAGGGTCACACGTGTTCTATACTGTCCCTTCTGCAGAGCCTATCACTCCTGGTTCCTCTCGTCGGCCCTTAGTATTGCTGTCAACTACCGCTTGGTTCAGCAGATGAGGGAGAGTGGTGAGGTGTTGGCTCCTGATACAGACGCAGTTGAAAACACCGAGGACCACCCGCCCCAGCAGCAACTTCCTCGGCAAGCCCCCCTTCGCCATCACCAGCCGTGATATATGAATGTAGCTCAAAATATTTTGTCTCGCCTTGGTCCTGACGTTTAGTTGTTGGTAGAAAGTTGATGAAGATAACACAAGATATAATTTCAAATATATGTGTACAGTTCTCAGTCATTTTTATGGTAGAAACATGTAGTTCTTTTTTTCGGCGAGGCTGTGTATACTGTCGAGATATGGCAAGCGTCCAGAGTGTACAATAATTATACTAAATAATAAATCGATAAAACTATTGAGTTATATTAGCTTTTGCTTTCTATGTTAGAATTTGATGTATTTTTAAAAGTATTAAATAAATTGTGTCAAATCTATGTCACACTAATAATATATTTTATCTCCCATTTTTCTAAAAATCAATAAATATAATATTATGCAGTAGATTGATAAAATAGTAACCAGATCCAACATTGCCTAATTTGGCTGATCTGACAAGAAGCGGTGTTTCCAACGTGATAATATTAAGTAGCCATCCATCGCTTCATTTACTTTAGTTTGCTATTTACGTTTTCTTTTAAAGATATTAGAATATTTATAGAAAACAACTAAATTTTAACTATCAACTATAGAAATAAAATTCCATAATGCTTTACACTGACCAAGACACTGCCGACAATTTCTTCATAATTGCTGTGGAAACTGGTATTAATTGAAGTTCAGTCATTTAAATTAAAAGAGTTTATTGACCAAATATTAGAGACAAACTATACAACAGCATTGACATGGTTGTGCTTTTTTTTAGAGGTGCAGCTCTCTTGCCAGGCTCTTGGTAAGCACATTTCTCAAAGAAATTATTAAATATCTATATCTGCATAAACTACTTAGATAAAAGTATATCGAGCCAAATTTTCAAGTTTTCGGACGGCGCGAATGTATTTGGAGAGGTATCAAGTCAAGATGATGTCGAAACAATGCAGAGAGTCTGCATGAGCTGTTCAAATGTCTCGAGATTACCAAATGCTCTTTAACATTACGAAATGCAAGATCCTACACGAGATTTAGAAATTAAAAGCACACCTTCGAATACACAAGCTAGAAAAAATTTACTTCAACTGTACAAATCTCACGTTCATCCGGGATCAAAGGTTCGCTCACCTCCCAAACTGAAGCAAGCATCGACTCCAAATTAAATAAACCAACACACCCGCACCAGATGACAGCCAAGCTAAGTAAGTTCAGAGACTCATTCCCGTGATTCAGAGCCATCACGGCATGATGTTTATGTGTTAAGAATAAGATGTGAAGTCGACCGTATCAGCTAGGGCTTTTGAAATGAGTGTCAAAGAGTCGTTGCTGAAGGACAGTTGGATACCTTCAGTTCTTTTTTTTTACCTTTAAAGTTAAAATGAGATTTCGTAATGGTGTCTTGTTATTGTAAAATTCTTGTCTACTATATGCCAGCTTCTCGAGTATTTTACTTAAGCAAATAGAATTGACATAGAAGTGTTGTCCTTAGAAAGGCCTTATCACCAGGTTTAGATGTAGGTTGAACCATAGTGGAAGTCTCAAATGTACAGTTAGAAGTAGTAATTGCTGCCTCTCCCTTAGTAACCAGAGCCACAGTGAAGACAGTTCCAAAACTACACAACGACGTTTTAGACAGGGGAGGGGAGTGTTTGTCCAATCACAAGACCTTCACTTGACGTGGCTCCGGTTACTAACGTGGGGGCGGGGGGGGATAACAATTACTATGTCTGACTGTACAAGATAACTAATGATATGTGCCTTGTTATCTTGCCAAGGCTGCTGTTGAAGCTTTGGAAATTTTACGAAAACTATTTCTTCATTTTCTGTAACATTCTCATGTGTAAGTAGGTTCCAAATCCCTCTTGGTAATCTGGAATGTCTTCACCAAAGTTACTGTCCACGTTGATAAAGTATAATAGTTGAGGTGGTGAGTAATGTAGGGGATTATTTTACACTTACATTACCATACATTATCTATTGTAACATGAGTGAAAGGCCGTACATTGAGAGCTGTTCAGGAGAAAGTTATATTTTTTTTTAGATTTCCTTATTTCGCCTGATAATGATTGTAATTGTCCTTTATTTTATTTACATCTACCGGCTCATAATTGCTTGAGTTACTCTTTTTCGAACACTTGTAGATACTTTACCAAATGTTATAGGACGTTATGGATTTTGGGGGGCGATTTATTTTTCAGCTGTAATATAGGATTAATTCACCGTTTACGAATGTGACTCCGAGGGAAACTTATCAGCAGAGGCATAAACAATATTCAATTTATCATTCAATAACAGTCAATAAGTAGTGTTGATCGGTAAGTTGATGAATGAATGTTTTGATTGTAGCCTCACATTATCATTCGGTACGTAGACGTGTTCAGTATATAGGTGAAGAGTGTGGTGGTGTGGTCTGATTTAGATGTGAATAAATTTTGTACATAAACATTCAATTCATTCGTGTCTTCGATGTATAAAGACGCGTAGGCTCTTTCTATTACCATTTTATGTTTTTTTTCTTTTTGTGAATAGACATACTGTATATACCTGTATCCATTCAATAAAGTCACCATACAAGTAACAAGTGATTGTGCGGAGACAGTGTGGTTATACGAACAATGGTAAACAGTAAGTCAATTTGACTAAGGAAAGCCAAAGGTATCTTATGCTTATGCCAGAGGTGACCTTGTGTTTTAGGGGACTAATCAGTATCAATAAATCTACAAAAATAGAAATGAAGTTCCACCCAATAAATACGAAATAAACTATAAAGAAAATAAAGCTATCTCTCTCGAGGACAGTTTTGACTTTATTCTAGTTCTTAGTGATATATCTTATTAGTTTTCAGTCGTTCAAGAAACACATTATCAGGAATTTTTAATGATATACCCAACTGCTGGAGAGTTAGTATTATATGAACGTGTGAATCGTCGAATATATTGACATGGAATGCAACGTTCACATTACAACTTAATTTGTCCAGTGGAAATAATGAAAAAAATATATTATTTACTTCATTAAGGCTGTGGATCTCTGCGGCAAAGATTCCTCCGACAAAACCTGAGATTTCTTACCAGAGAGAAACTCAAGGCATAATATTGTATAGTACTCTGAAGTAGTATAGTAGGCTGAGTGTGCCAATTTTAGAGTAAGATGTGTGTAGGGCAGAACCTTGTTTATACAACAGCGACCAGAAGCCCTGGATATTCAGGTTGACTTCTGTCAGGAAGGGGAACACTTGTTGATCTTAGCTCCTGTACAGCCAATCACGTGCCGGTATTCTTATCAAAACTAAAGTTCATGTTATGGTTGGTTAAGCAGGTTGGTGAGGGGGACTTGTGGTTGGTTGGTGCGGGTTCTATGTCAAGGAAGCCCCGCCCCCTTGTGCCCGGGTGTCCTCGACTGAGGGGACACACACCGCCACGACACCCTCGCTTGACAGGTGGTGGCCCACACGCCACAGATTTCCGTGAAGACCTGACGCATCCGCTTGTGCTTACGCTGAGTGACTGTGAGGTGATGCCAATTTGTGAGAGGTGTTAAGTGCTCGTGCATGTAGTTACTATTGCTAACTGCACTTTAATAGGCCTGATTGCCTCAGTGAAGTGGTTCAGTACTGACTCCCAAAATTAAGTATTCATTGTCGCCGCAGTGAAACACAGCTCACTATAAACATGCTGTAGAGTTTTCACTTTTGCAGTTAAGAATCTACTGTGTTTAAAACTTCAGTTTATAGCAACAAGAATATGATTGCTGTGAAATAAGGTAACAATAATCTACTGGCAAATAGCAACACATTTATGTATCGTTCGTTAAGTGATTGTTTAGCGAAAAGAGTTTATACACTTAAAATAACAATATTTACGCGACAACTCTCATTGCCAGGAAACATAACACAAGGTGTCGTGGGAATAAGTGATAAACAACTGTGCTGAGAACGACAACCACAAAATACAAAGATCACAAGAAATGGAGCAAACGATGTTGAGCGGCGGGGGTGTGTCCCTGCCAGTGACCACCACTGGAAGCATGATGTCCTTGGGGTCTTCCTTGGCAAGCCTGGCGCCCCTGGAACCTCCTAGGGCATCTACATACCCAAATCTGTTGCCGGGCTCGGAGTGGGGGCTTCTGGAAACTACTGACATCGCACGGGACTATGGCGGCCTCTTTTCCTCCTCACTGGTAGAATATGGTCTCCCTCCCATCTTACCACGGACTCCCACGCCTCATGATGCTCTCCATCCTCCTCATGATTTAACTTACCCCATGCATTACGCCGCCCCTATGGAGTACCCGGCACCCCTGACACCTGATAGTGATCCACCCTCTGATGGCAATGGTTCTCCGACCTCCTCCCCACCTGCAACATCACATTTACTGCCTTCTGCCAACGCTTTCCCGCCCACCTCTCATTACACGCCCACCTCACAGTTCACCTCCTCCAACTACCTGCCTAGCCACACCATCACCTTCAGCAGTTTGTCACCGCCAACCGACGATTTAGCGACGTTAACATCTGTCTTGCCAAGTACCGTAGGGGGCTCTGAACAGCAAGCTGCCTCCCTGGGTCCTCTCTTGCCCCTAACAACCCATAATGTTGGGGAGATGGGCTTCGGGGGCTTGAGTAGCGACGTACTTACTTCTCTGGGATCTTTAGTGAGCGAACACCGTGCTGATCTGTCCCACGACCCAGCTGATACCTCAGGTGAGTGACATAATCAACCATATTGACTGAATCAATTGCCTCTTCTCACCAAAAAATAATTCTAATGGCCTATCTTGTGGCACTTTGACACGGTAGCCGAATGACACAACCACAGCAGCTTTACATATTGCCTTGACCATTGACTTTCTGACACCACAGGTAGGTGCCATGGTTGCTTGCTGACCTAACCCAACGCCGTATTTGAGTATTATGGCCTCCACTTATGACCTGCTTCTCCCCTCCCTTGGTACAGTAGTATGGCAACAAAATCTGCTACACGTACTGACCTGCTCAGCCCCTCTGGCACAGTAGGATGGTAACACAATCTGTTTCACTTATTGGTCTGGCCGGTGATCCCGACACTTTTTTGTGTGTCTTCGTCTTCATATTTCTTAAATTTGTGTCTCACACAGACTGTGTAAAACTTGTAAACAAATTAGAACAAGGAAGCGGTAGTATCGAACGCTTTTAAGTGGTTAGTTTTTTTTTCAAATTTATTACTTTTCGGTACATCAGAAACTTGAGATTTTGTGAAGGTAGTCAACTATGATTTTCCATCAATCAGTAAACCGTCAAAAGGGTCATATTTACAGAGGAACATGACCGTAAAGCTTCGACTTCAGATGGTGTTGTAGCAGCACACAAACTGGTAAAGAAACAATATTTCAGCGAATCAAATATTCTTGAATATGTGTTTATATTTTGTCTCATTTCCCCTTGAAAATAATATATTTGTAGTAGTTTTTAAAGTAAATTTGTTTTAATTTATTTTGCCTTATACCTAACGATGCAATATTAAATACATATACGGAATACAAAATATTCACTATACCATATAAAGCCTTCAGAAGGGACAGTACTGTAGTGAAATGTTCTCAAAACTACTACCGAGACGTAAGAAAATTAGCCAAGACAGCTGTGGGAGATTTTTAAAAGTCACTTGATCTCGAGTCTTGAAAGAGAGAGCACACATGGTTCGCCTTACAAGGGACAACGGCTCACCTTAGCTCTCTCCCCCTCTCTCTCTCTTTAACGACTTCCATTTCCACGAGTTGTTGTTTTTTTCACCTTTTCTCAGGTTCTAATTAGTGTATTAATGAGAAAGGGTTAAATAAGTCATGATTTAGTTAAGTATAATAAGAGTTAATGTTCGGAGACGGGAGCGCTGATCACCCCACTCACACTACTACTCAAGCGTGACAGATACACAACACCGCCGAGATACTCAGTTATTTGTGCTATGTAGTATTTAGTTTCGTCTCTCCCTTGTGTTGGTCTGTGTCTCTTGTTGCATCAATGATATCGAGGAGGAAGGACGTGTTAGTGCTTGAAAGAATGCGGTGCTATCATTTTTTTATGAACATTGAACGACAGATTTTATATTCGCTATAGATGATAACCTTTGAAATTAATATATATATATAAAGAATAATATAGTTTTCACCTTATTAAAAATCAACGCCTGAATTAATCGTCGCTTTAAAACTGAGGTAAGTTTATTGTTTTTTGTGTGATGTGATCTGCTGTCGAGTTGTGGTGGTACACAGGTGAGTTATTATGAAATATATGATTAAAGATATTTGAGTTTGATATAAATAGATGGAGTTTAACTAGTGTGTGATCTGGTGATAAACTTGAGGCTCTAAATATCTCTGAGAACATTACAAATTATGATTATACTAGAGTGAACTGTTTGTATTCAGATCAGAAGGAAATATTCGGCCAATAGTTAGAGTAAAAATACGTTATAGAATTATTCAAATTATCCCAACATAATTAATCGTAAAAGTAACTGAAAATCAACCATCAGTTCACAGTAGACGGAATTATATAAAGTCAATTATTTTTTCACAGGGCAGTGAAACTTGTTTATGTATCAGTATTAGCTAAAGAAACTTATCAACATCTCTAGTTTCTGTGGAGTGTTTCAGGGAGTCAGTCACTAAGGTCGTTTATAGTTTCACAAAAGTAGTGGTCTCAGGGAAGATGTGAGCGCCTCGTTCTGGTAACTCGGAGGGCAGTGTCAGCTATCTGTGCAAGGCGGTCAAGGTGCGTGGGAATATTTAATTTCATATTCAAGAAACCAGAGCTAAAACGTTATCGAAAACTGTGAACTTCGAATAATATAAATGTTATTATTTTCAACTAGGGGAAAACAATAACTTATCTGTATTAAGGATAAGCTGTCAATGCTAGATCATGTAGATCGTCCCAACATTTCTCTCCTGAGCTGGGATAATCGCGGAAGATGGGCGCCTCTCAACCCTTAGCTCTCACCAGCAGCGGTAACCCTACCTTTGGTATTCCTCAACACAGCGGCCGACTGTACAACATAAAAGCTACCATTATTTACTCACAGACACCCGAGATGCTACCGGGGCCCGTTGTACTCACAAACTGTGGTGGTACTCGTTGAGAGCCGTGCTGAGTCTCACTGTAGCTATGGTGGTACACAGACGAGTTGTGGTGGTACAGAGACGAGCTGTGGAGGTACGCACACTAACCACGATGCTACACACACACTAACCACGATGCTACACACACGCTAACCACGATGCTATACACACGCTAACCGCAGTGGTACGCACACATAGTGCTGTGGACAGAGCTGTGGTTGTACACACACGAGAATCTGTGGTATACACAGGATGACCTACGGAGTATCTACACTGGCTTCTGTTATACACATATTAGGTTCAGCGGTACACACACTCACTGCAGTAGTACACATATAAGCTACCCCAAACGTTTTTGCTTTGGTTTTGATCACATAGACCATTTAGTAGCATTTGTCACTTGCTGTTGCTACAGTGAATGATCTATCACAACGTCAAGATTGTTCTCCTTATCGACAGTATCCAGGAAAGTGTTATTAACATAATGATTGTGATTAGGGTTGTTGTATCCTACGTGTAGGGTTTTGCATTTCGTAATGTTAAAGCGCATGTGCTAGTCTCGAGACCATTTGAACAGTTCATGAAGGTATTTCTGCATTGTTGCTACATCGTCTTGACTTGCTACCTTTCCAAATATATTCGTGTCATCCGCAAATTTGACAATGTAGCTCGATATATTTTTATAGATGTCATTTATGTAGATCACAAAGAGGGTGGGTCCAAGGATAGAGCCTTGTGGTACTCTATTAAGAACCGTTTTTCATGGCATATTCATTAAAATTAACAACTTCTTTTACCTTCTTTAAATTCTTATAAAACTCATTCTAATTATCATTAGTTGGTAAATTAACCTGAATTATTGCCGATTCTATTTGTTTAGAAGTAATCTTAAACAATAAGTAGCCGTCTGACACTATACCCAACTTCTGCTCTACATCTATTAGACATCTACCTACCTTGCATCCTTTTCACTACCTGATATTCTCCACTACCACTATTTAAACTTTTCCATCTTACTTCAATTGATTCCAATATATCCCACCGAAACCGTAACATCTTTCCTCCAAACATTTGCGTATTTGTCACTTTTATCTCATGTCTTCACACACTTAGTTTCTATTTTAAGATTATGTTCCTCACCCTTACGCTCTCGGGGTTGATGTTTAATGTTCAATGTTTTGTTTTATTCAGACAATACTTGATAACTCCCGGTGGCAGAGTTAACAGACGGCAGACATACAGGTACAATGTCCCTCATGATACACTTACAAACTACGAGATACACACAAGGGTTCAGACTGTGTACACGAGCTCATCATATACACATCCTGAAGTTATAATGATACACATAACTGATTGAGAGCGTAAAAAGTACCTACAATAAATAAGACTGAACACACAAAAATATCACACATGCACATTTTTGTACGCATATAAGAACATAAGAACGTAAGAAAATAAGGAGTCTGCAATAGGCCGGTTGGCCTGTGCATGGCAGCTCCTGTCGAGAGTTACTACCACTCTCTATCATCCATGAATCTATCTAGCCTCCTTTTGAAACTTTACAGAGTTCCCGCACTTACTACAAAGTTGCTAAGCTTGTTCCACTCGTCCACCACCCTATTTGTGAACCAGTTCCTTCCTATCTCCCTCCTAAACATAAGACATGCACATTTACATAAAGACACTATTATACACACACCTACAAACACAAAGAAGAAATACTTATTGGCACTCTCTGAAAGCATACATGGCAAAATGATTCACAAGTGTTAAATTTACCAACTCGTAAGCTTTCTATAAAACAGACTCTTTCACATGTTGAACCACTGAGTATAAGCAGGCTAGGGTGACAGACTACAGTATATGCAGGCTGAATCGGTAAATAAACAGGTTAAGGTAGCAGTCTAAAGAGGCAGAATCAATAAGTAAGCAGGCTAAAGTAGGAGGATACACACAGGCTGAGGCAAGTGAATCAGCAAGTAGGTAGGCTAGTGATAGACTATACAAAGGCAGTGTTAGTAAGTTAGGATTGCAGGCTGTACACAGGTTGTATCAATAGAGACATACATAGGGCTAGCAGACTACATGTATGATGAATCAGTGACTAAGTAGGTTGTAGGCTGGTGCTCTACATACATAATGAATGAGTGAATAAGCAGGTTAGGATGGCAGGCTATACACAGGATGTATAAGTAAGAAGATAAACTAAGAAGATGAACTACACCGAGAATGAATCGGTGTACAGACTTGATCGTTGGTCACACACAGTCTGAGACAGTATGAATGCAGACTACGGTCACACACACACACACGGAGACTGACGGTAGACACATACTCGGGCGGTAAGTACATAAGTTCGAGCTATAAACACTTAACTTGAGGTGCTATATACTCAAACTAGGATGGTTGTAACGTACAGGGTCTAGGACAGAAGGCAGACAGAAGAGGACGGTAAACAAATAGATGTATTTATCAGTGTTTACAGACCACACTTTCTTACTGCAATGGTACTAACGAATCTTTAATCACATACATTACTTCTTACATATAATATTCAAAAACTGTGACAGTATCCGAAGAAGCATATACTCATGTCTGAAT